CATGTTGGCAACCGGGCGTTCGGGGTATGCGTAACCAATGATGTATTCTGTAATAATGTTCAGACCAGGTGCCTGCAAACAAGAAAGACATTATTAGATTCAATATGAGTAAGCATTTCAGAAAGGAACTCATGAAACCAAAGAGATTTGTAGTTTGGAATGGCGTTCCATGGCTCTCACCTGGTTTGTGGTAGCAGCAATGATGCCGATGGGAAGAGTGAAGAAGAAGGCAATGACACAAGCTAACAGTACTCCCCACCAAGGCAATTGAAGCGAGACATTGTAATATTGACAGGAAAAAATGGAGAGACCAATGTTGAGCACAAGGATGACGATGAACCACCAAGTTGGCACTTGTTTGTAGGCACGCATAAGCTTTGTATGTATGTCTATTTTTCTCTTCCCACCAAAGGCACTTCTGCTTTGGTTCCACAGTTCCCTGCATATAATAAAAGAACATTTATCAATTACACAAGGTTACACACTTCCCTACACTTTGCAGTTTGAAGTTTTGTCGAGAATTTACCTTCCATTGAACAGAAACACATGCACAATTGTAGCAGAAAGAGTGGCAAATCCAAGACCATAGGTCATTGCAAAGAAGGTACTGAGATTTACAGGTCCAATTGTGCGGTAAACTCCTCGATCAAGATGGAAATGAGAATCGACTATGCTTGAAATATTGTATCTTTGACCATTGGACATGAAAAGGGCGCTCGAATATATGGGAAATTTCTTTGCCCCATATACATTGAGCCAGTAAGTAAGGGGTGTCATGACATACATAACAACAACAAAGCCCACAGCAATGTTGGCAGTGGCAAACCAAGGACTGGCTAGGGGACTTCCAAGGTAAGATGAAATTGTGGTCCAATCTATCCCGAATGCGCCGAGTCCAAGGCCATTCATGCCAGAACCCAGTTGATGAAGGAAAACAGACTTTGAATCAAACCAACAGAGCCAAGAGAAAGAGGTAAGCATCAGGAGAAGATAGCCAGGAACAACATAGTAAGCAAAGCTGCAAATCATGGCCAAGAGGAAAAACTGTGTAAGAGTGGTGCCGCGTTTGGGCCTCTTTTCCTTCTCATGCAGAGCCCTGCAGATCTCAAAGTTCCTCGAGTCAGAAAACATACATGAATAGCTTCATTCAACTAGAACAGAATTAGTGAAAGGGGGTTTAGATCATAAGACATCACCGAAACAACGACACCTGAACCAAATTGGAAGGCCACCACATCTCCCCAGGCTCAACCAGATATTTCCTGAAGAGTCCAGCCCAGCCAAATCCTAGAATCTACAATGGCAAGGAATACAAGTTATGAACACCAGAATGCAGATAAGGAATAGCCATTGCAACTCTCTTCAAAATGAAAAACAAAAAGTGTAAACCCTAAGAGAAGATAGAAGACGCATTTTTCATAACAGACTATCAAACCAATTACGGGAATGTCTGTTGGAGTCAAATCTGGAATCTCGAGATACTATTAACAAATTCAGAATTCATAACTGATATGAGTTAGGAGAGCATGCATTGTGTGGAGACTGAAAACCAAAGATAAAGAAAGAGACCTGAGTAGTGAGCATAATAAGCAGAGCAGGAATGAAAGTAAGCTGTCTCTTGTAGAGAAGCTTAACAGCAGTCAAGATATGAGTGGCATAAACAGAGCCAGCACCAGAATTAGCAAAAATGGTAATCAGAACATGCTCCTTTATATTGAAGGGTCCAGGATTCAAAGTGAACTCAAACCGGGTGCCTCGGAAAAAGGGTCGAGTGGGAAGCGTCTTGGCCATCAAATGGCCAAGGGGCACCACAGCAATCTGCGCGGCGATCGAAGAAACCGATAATGGGTTGGCTCTGTACCAAAAGAACTGGTTGACAAAGGAGAGTATGACGCAGGCAGCAACCCCCAGAACCCACATTCTGAATGTGAGAACCGGCAAGTTGGGGTCATCGGTTTTGGGGACAGTAATATCCACCTGCTTAACCGGGCACTCATCGTCGACGGCCGATAGCGGGTCTTCGCTCTGGATCTCCGATACGCTAGTGGACATGGCGATGTGGAGTGGGAGGCGATGGAGAGAGGGTCTTCTTCTTCTTCTTCTTCTTCTTCTTCTTCTTCTTCTTATGGAAACTGCAAACTGCAAAACAACCCGTAGAATATAAGGAAACTGAATCAGTGGGACTATGAATGAGATTCGAATCTCTAATGGGAATGGGAGTCGGAATTGGTCAACGAATCAAATCAGTTTCATTTCATTATTCATATTTAAAAAGTAAATAAATAATTTCAAATCTTATTCACCTAAATTATATTATTTTAATCCAAATATAAATATCTGAAACTGATACATAAATACATAATTATTAAATTTGTTAAACATTAATAAAAATTAATTGAGTATATTTTTATCCTAAAAATAAAAAAGTAGTTACGGTGAGCCAACGAGCATCTCATTTATATTGCTTATTTTTCGGGATATCAACTTATCTCCAAATTGAATATCGATAATAATTTCATATATTTTGTTATATATATATAAAAACATATTATATATAATATGATTTGGGAGATATTCCAATTCCAATTTCCATTAATGTGAAATGTGAAATGTGAAATGTGAAATGAGGCTAAAGTCAGTGTGTTTTTGTATGTTAGTTTCTTATAGTCATAGCTCCATTATCTTTTAATTATTTGCTTTTATTGTTTTTTTTGTTGTGTTATGTTGTTTGTCACTCTTTATATTTATTGTCGTTTACTTTCTTTTATCTTTTCTTTTTGTTTATATCATATATCCCAATTCACACTCTTATTATGGTTAGTTCAGCTGTCCAAACATTGTTAGAAGACTCGATTTCCCCTCCAATGTTGGGAAGGAATTACATCCTCTGTTATTATGGTTAGTTCAGCTGTCCAAACATTGTTAGAAGACTCGATTTCCCCTCCAATGTTGGGAAGGAATTACATCCTCTGTTATTATGGTTAGTTCAGCTGTCCAAACATTGTTAGAAGACTCGATTTCCCCTCCAATGTTGGGAAGGAATTACATCCTCTGTTATTATGGTTAGTTCAGCTGTCCAAACATTGTTAGAAGACTCGATTTCCCCTCCAATGTTGGGAAGGAATTACATCCTCTGTTATTATGGTTAGTTCAGCTGTCCAAACATTGTTAGAAGACTCGATTTCCCCTCCAATGTTGGGAAGGAATTACATCCTCTGTTATTATGGTTAGTTCAGCTGTCCAAACATTGTTAGAAGACTCGATTTCCCCTCCAATGTTGGGAAGGAATTACATCCTCTGTTATTATGGTTAGTTCAGCTGTCCAAACATTGTTAGAAGACTCGATTTCCCCTCCAATGTTGGGAAGGAATTACATCCTCTGTTATTATGGTTAGTTCAGCTGTCCAAACATTGTTAGAAGACTCGATTTCCCCTCCAATGTTGGGAAGGAATTACATCCTCTGTTATTATGGTTAGTTCAGCTGTCCAAACATTGTTAGAAGACTCGATTTCCCCTCCAATGTTGGGAAGGAATTACATCCTCTGTTATTATGGTTAGTTCAGCTGTCCAAACATTGTTAGAAGACTCGATTTCCCCTCCAATGTTGGGAAGGAATTACATCCTCTGTTATTATGGTTAGTTCAGCTGTCCAAACATTGTTAGAAGACTCGATTTCCCCTCCAATGTTGGGAAGGAATTACATCCTCTGTTATTATGGTTAGTTCAGCTGTCCAAACATTGTTAGAAGACTCGATTTCCCCTCCAATGTTGGGAAGGAATTACATCCTCTGTTATTATGGTTAGTTCAGCTGTCCAAACATTGTTAGAAGACTCGATTTCCCCTCCAATGTTGGGAAGGAATTACATCCTCTGTTATTATGGTTAGTTCAGCTGTCCAAACATTGTTAGAAGACTCGATTTCCCCTCCAATGTTGGGAAGGAATTACATCCTCTGTTATTATGGTTAGTTCAGCTGTCCAAACATTGTTAGAAGACTCGATTTCCCCTCCAATGTTGGGAAGGAATTACATCCTCTGTTATTATGGTTAGTTCAGCTGTCCAAACATTGTTAGAAGACTCGATTTCCCCTCCAATGTTGGGAAGGAATTACATCCTCTGTTATTATGGTTAGTTCAGCTGTCCAAACATTGTTAGAAGACTCGATTTCCCCTCCAATGTTGGGAAGGAATTACATCCTCTGTTATTATGGTTAGTTCAGCTGTCCAAACATTGTTAGAAGACTCGATTTCCCCTCCAATGTTGGGAAGGAATTACATCCTCTGTTATTATGGTTAGTTCAGCTGTCCAAACATTGTTAGAAGACTCGATTTCCCCTCCAATGTTGGGAAGGAATTACATCCTCTGTTATTATGGTTAGTTCAGCTGTCCAAACATTGTTAGAAGACTCGATTTCCCCTCCAATGTTGGGAAGGAATTACATCCTCTGTTATTATGGTTAGTTCAGCTGTCCAAACATTGTTAGAAGACTCGATTTCCCCTCCAATGTTGGGAAGGAATTACATCCTCTGTTATTATGGTTAGTTCAGCTGTCCAAACATTGTTAGAAGACTCGATTTCCCCTCCAATGTTGGGAAGGAATTACATCCTCTGTTATTATGGTTAGTTCAGCTGTCCAAACATTGTTAGAAGACTCGATTTCCCCTCCAATGTTGGGAAGGAATTACATCCTCTGTTATTATGGTTAGTTCAGCTGTCCAAACATTGTTAGAAGACTCGATTTCCCCTCCAATGTTGGGAAGGAATTACATCCTCTGTTTTTAATAATTTTGCTGACACCAAAACTGCAATCCCAAACAAAGCTCATTTCATTTCAGTGTTGGAAGGAAGGGTTGGCCATGAATTAGCTTCTAAACCTAATATTAATGCTTTCCCTCCTAACACACCCATTAATGGAGGAGGTTGAATCATCAACACAGCTTTGCTTTTGTTTTCCTGGGGAACTCAATAATGTAATCTCCTTGTCCACCTCACAATTTTTTATTTTTTTAGCCATAATCCTACGTGTACTGCCACGCCATCAATATCAGATCCCCAACATCTCAGAACGGGTAAGTGAAGCACAGGGAACCAAGGATAGGGAATTCATTTTTCCAAATGGCCGCTTTATCAATTCCACTCTCTCAGAATGGTTTCTCTCGCAGCTTCTACTCTGCAAAACGCCCACAGCTTATATCCCCACTTGCCCCTTCCCTCGCCCCTATCACTTGCCGTGGTTAGTTCTTCTTCGACCTCTTCTTTGTTTCTTTCAACTCCCTTTAGTTTTATGCATTGATTTACTTCAACAACTGCTCCACATCGTACCCTTTTTGTGGGTAAATTGCATTAGAATCTGGGGAGAACTGTTTTCTTTCTCCCGGTCTCTGCCCTTTGCTGCATATTATGTTGTTAGGATCAGGATGCTGGTTGTGGGTAAATGCATTGAGTGATCTCTAAATTGGTAAAAATTCCTGTTTTTGCATACCCTTTGATGTGCTTGGGCGAATGCAATTTGAGCTCAACCCCATCGTGTGTATTCAACCGTTATGACTTATGTTTAATGGAGCCTTATCTGCAATGCCATTTTATTAACTGATGAAACAAGTGTCCGTGTGGTTCAATTGCAGCCGCTGTGGATGGGGCTGAACCAAAAGAGAGCTTGTCACCTTGCAAGCACATTGGTACCGTAGCTTGTGGTCTTCTTGCTGTTTGGACTTTGACAAATACCACTCCTGTGATTGCAGCTACTCAGGTCAATAGCCTATCACGTTTCTCCATCCACATGGCTTGAGGCAATTAACAATTAATACCCACATCTGTGACATTCTTTACTTTCAGGCATTTCATTAAATGATCAATTTGGAGTTTATGCATTTTCTGCTGATTTATAGTTTATACGTTTGAGTTTTGTGTATTAGAAGTGTGAAATTTTCAACTATTTGGAGTGTATTTACATGACCTTTTAGAATAATGAAATGCTATTCAAATTTATCTGATGTTTGGGTACGTGAGATAAAAATTCCCAGGCGCCATTCCAAACCCACGAACTTGCATCTAAACTTAGGCTAAAACCCAGTTTTTTTTTTCCAAGGACATCTTGTAATAATCTTGTGAGATCCCATATCGGTTGGGGAGGGGAACGAAACATTCTTTATAAGAATGTAGAACCTTTTAAAACCTTGAGAGTAACTGTGGAAGGAAAAGCCCTAAAAGGACAATATCTGGTAACGGCGGACTTAGATTGTTACAAATGGTATCGATTGGAGAGGGAAACGAAACATCTTCTTTTTTTAATATTCTTCCTTTTATATGTTCTTCCTTTTATAGTCATGATCAACAAAATTCGTTCACTTTGTGTGGCAAGTGTGAAACAACTCATTATATTTCACCTCGAGAAATAAACCTGTTGAACTCATAATATGATATGTGGGACTTGCAGAGGCTTCCTCCACTGTCGACAGAACCCAACCGATGTGAGCGTGCTTTTGTTGGCAACACTATAGGTCAAGCAAATGGTGTGTATGATAAGCCAATTGATCTTCGTTTCTGCGACTACACAAATGATAAAAGCCAGTTAAAAGGGAAATCTCTTGCTGCTGCCTTGATGTCAGAAGCAAAGTTTGATGGTGCAGACCTCTCTGAAGTGGTGATGTCAAAAGCATATGCTGTTGGAGCCAGCTTCAAGGGTAAAATTCTCTCTTTCTTACCCCAACTCCAATAGCCAGGCGGATTGTGGACAAAGGAGAAAGACTTTGATTGGATCTCCCAACTCTAAAATCATGTATTTGCCTACAAATATTAATACTCATAACACGGGTTCAAACGTCATGATAACATTGCATATTGCAGGTGTCGATTTCTCGAACGCAGTTCTAGATAGGGTAAATTTTGGGAAAGCCAATCTCCAAGGAGCTTTGTTCAAGAACACTGTACTTTCAGGGTCCACATTTGATGATGCTCAATTACAAGATGCAGTTTTTGAGGACACAATCATAGGCTACATTGATCTTCAGAAACTGTGTGTAAATCCAACTATTAGTCCTGAAGGAAGAGCTGAATTGGGATGTCGATGATTTCAATATAGTCTGTGTATGTATTGTATTGTATTGTCTAGACAACTTAATGATTTTGGTAAGTAATACATATTCAAAGAGACAACTCCCTCTAACTTCTGTTGAAGAACAATGTGGTGTCACTGTCAAGTTCATGTTTTCCGTAATCTTCTTTCGTTGTTTCCTTAGGAACAAAATCTGATGTTTTTTCTTTTGAGTATACTCTTAACTGCCTATTTAAGTGCATCTAGTGTAGTGTAGTGGTATCATAGTACCCTCCTACGGTACTGTCTGGGGTTCAGTTCCCCGGATGCGTATACATTTTTATTTTTGCATGGAATGAGTCGTTCTCTGAATGTGCTGTCACTAAAAAGATGCCAATCTTTTCTTCAAACCCTCATGTATTGTTACAGATGCCGTATCAGTGGCCAATCAATATCAAATGCCCATCACCAGGAGGCCCCCACTAACACTAACACTAGCACTAACACTACAGTACTCGTACCCAACAAGGGTCACCCACCATACTTTCTGCAAACTTTATCATAATAGCCTACATATCAAATTTAACCAATATGGGAAAGAAAAATCAAGAACATAACTCAGTGAGTCAAGTCGAGTCCAGTCTGGACCGATGAGAGGTTGTTTTGACAGAGTTCAATGTTAAGGAACTGTAAAATATAGATTAGAGAAAGTTTGTTGTGCTTTTGAAACTTTTTGAGCTGTCATTCCACAGGGCCACCTGAAATTCCTTCACAGATGTCTGTCTGTCCTTTGTTACCCAACATTCAAGTGTGGGAGTCCTTGAAGAACCAAGCCAAACAAGGGTGGTGAAGGGAATCCTATGCCAAAATAATTGGGATGATGTGAGAAAATTATGTTGTTATTATATCAGACGCACAGAGTCAAGCAGCCTGGCAGAAGCACTTTTGTCTGTCACCATTCATGTTCTTTTCGTAATAATTTCCCTGCAAACTCCTCCCTCCTTCTACTTCCAACTTTCCACCTCTTTTTGAATTGCTTTCTATTTATATGAACCCAACCCTCAGCTCCATGCATACCATTCACTATCACTCAATCATGCTCAACACTAAATGTGAATTTCTGTATCCTCTTTCCAACTTTTCTTGCTCAAATGAGTATTCCAAACAGAGCAGCAGATGCAAATGGAAACTAATCAACCCTTTTTCTTTCTTTTTATGATGCTCCTGCTGCTTCTTTCTGCGATGCTCATTTCAGCAAGAAATGTTGCAAAAATGGAGGCTTTTTGCACCATTCCTCGCTTTCCCCTCATCTGGGTTATCTCGTCTTTGCATCTCCTTTCTCTCATCTGGGTTATCTCTTCTTTGCATCTTCTTTCTCTCATCTGGGTTATCTCTTCTTTGCACGTTTAAGCATTAAACTGAGCGGTATTGTAAAACAGTAGCCGCCATTTGTGCTGCAAAACTGTGTAATGTGGAAGTTAACAGGTGGGATAACGAGGAAGGAAAGAGGCTGGAATTTCTATTGTTAATGTAAATGGTAATGAATGGTCAATGATTGTTGATGATTTAATGTGGTTTATAAATGGAAAGAGACCCATTCTTTTGTTTTGTCTGTGGATAACTTGTCGCCTATTTTAGAATGCAAAAGTTGTCAGCCTCAGAATGGATTCCGCCATTGTCTAATATTGCAAGCTTAGTGAACGGTGCTCCGTTCACCGTCTTCCCCCATCCTAATCTCCGATATTTTCACTACTATTTCGTCGATGGCTTCTGTAGATAATCGTTTTCGCCATCGAGGTTATTGCATTGGAATCCCACCTGATCCAGGTTTCTATCTTGTCCTGAAATTGTCATTTTCGGCGTCCTCAAATGGGGAGGGCGGTGGTTTATGTTCTTATACTCGCCGCCTTCGCTGCTTTCTTCGTATTTTCTCCGTCCCATCTCCCCGATCGGAACCGTCAAGAACTAACTCGTCGCCTAGGTTACAAATTCCGAACCCCCACTTTTGATCCTCTTGTGGCAGAATTGGAAAGAATCGCAGAGGAACGTGAGTTGGGAAGCCGAGGAAACGCGATTGGAGTGGAACAAACTGCGAAGGCAAAGATTCCCGAGGCTTACAGAGATTCCAACGACGAAGGGAGATTGAACATTTCGTCGAGGTTGGTCGTATTGTTTCCTTTGGTGGACCACTCCCCAACAGATGGGCTTATCAACTACGAGGAGATGAGCAATTGGATTACTGAGCAAACCGTCAACAAATTGAACAACAGAACGGGGAGAGAGTTAGCGTTCTACGACAAGAACGGAGATGGCGCCATATCTTTCCACGAATATCTGCCGCAGTTTACAGAGGAAGATATTGGTAAGCCTTTTGGTTTCTTTAATGCTGGGGAAGTTCTAGAGATTCCCATTCTCCTGGAAACTAAAATGATGATAGATCAAAACAAACCATTGTTTTCTGGGATTGAAATGAACATTGTGAAACAGCTAGAAACGAAACGGGGCATGGACAAGCTGGATGGTGGAAACAGCAATTCACAAATGCTGATGTTGACCCAAATGGATTGCTCAGTTTTGATGAACTGAAAGAGTAATTCCCCATTTTTAACCATTAATTTGAAACATGTGTTTCCTTGTAAGAATGGAATGTGATCTTTGTGTGCTGCAGTTTCCTGCACCCACAAGACAGCAGCAATTACCGAATACAAAACTGGCTGTTGAGCGAGAAAATGAAGTAACCTTTCCCCATACTCAAGCTCTTAACTTTTGCCATCCACATTGAAAATCAAAGCATCAGCTTGTGTTTAATATGCGTGCAGGCGCATGGACTATGACAGAGATGGAAAACTCAGTTTTGATGAATTCCTCCACCACGCATACGACATATACAAGAGCTATATTGAATTCGAAACTCAAGGGGACGACGTACCGACCGCGGAAGAGAAATTTGATGAGCTTGATCTTGATGAGGATGAGTATGCATTTGATCTATATTTCTGCTTCATACCAACTTGTTGGGTGTTTTTAATATCAAAAAATTGTGTGCAGAGTATTGACAGTGGAAGAATTAAGGCCATTATTCCAGTATCTTAATCCTGGAGAACTTTCTCATGCCCAACATTACGCAGCTCATTTGATTAATGAGGTATATTAGTAGTTGATTTGAAGAGATTAAGAAAACAAACATGATGATTCACTCAATTTTATGCTGTAATTAACGCTGCAGGCTGATGATAACAAGGATGGGTTCTTAACACTCGAGGAGATGCTTAAACACGAGTACGTATTCTACACCACACTATATGAAAATCAAAATGGCGACTATGAAGACGATTTCCATGATGAACTTTGATGGTTTTTTTTTTTTTTTTCTTTTCTTTTCTTAAGCTTAGATTTTAGATTGTATTTGATGCGTTGCATAGGGGTGAAGGAAATAAACAATATAAAATGGTCTGGGTTACTATTAACTCACCTACCCTCTAAATTTTGATTCATTTTCCATTGTTTTCCTTCAAATGTAAAGAATAGCCTCTCGTCTATGCTGTATATTAAAATGAATTATGGTAGACAGATTTTCTGTCCCCATTTTTCTTTCTTTTTCCAATTCCATTTATTGTAAATCATTTTATTTTCTATTTTCTTTTTTCATTTCGCCCATGGTGCTCATCATATTGTTTCATGTTTATTTACTTATATACCTGTTATCCAGGGGGGGGGAACTCAATTTTAGCATGCAATTATATGCTTTATTTCAGTTGTGTATGGGTTTTAAGATTTTATGCTAACTAGTTTTATAGAGTTATAACATTCAACTTGAAACGGATGAGATCAACCCCTATAGATAGATAGATCTACAATGGTTAAAGAGACAAATATGAACTCAAATGCCTTTGATTGATGTATTGGAACTTTACTAACTACCTGCGTTGTTGATTCTTGAATATTATATGCTCTATTAACCGTACGACATCAATCAAGTATTGTTACGCCAAGAGGTGCTACTTTGATTATTGTATAGGTTGATGATCACTTATTTTCGAAAGCTTTTTTGTTTTCTTATGAAGATTAGACAATGGCTTAAAAGGAAAACTGGATATAGGTTCTGTTTTGAGTTTTCTCAAGATATATATTTTTTTTTCTAAGAAAAAGTAATCTTCTGTTGTTCCACATCCAAATGGTCCTTGCCACAATGTTATACATGGGAGGCAGCTTAGCCTAACAGAAAATGGCTGCTGCTATTGGAGGTCTTTTTTTATGGAGGCCACCTTCCATCATGTTTGAGTACTTTTCAATGAAAACATTTAAAAAGAAAAAAGGCTTTAAGTTGACTCTGATGAAGGGCAGGCAAGGCCGGCAGTGCATGCAACTTTAGAAACCCATCCTTCCTTTCTTACACGAAGAAGTAGAAAGATCAGTCATGGCCTCCAAAACCACTGCCTTCCTTCTCTACAGGTAACATAATCTTTCAACATCACAGAAATCGCTCAGTGCCATAGCTTAAGAGACAGCTAACCTCCCTTTTTTCTTCCTTCCATTGCAGGAGAGTTTGGGGCCTCCAATACTAAGATGAATCTTAATCACTCTCCTAACAAGGTATACTGTAAAGTGGTGAATATGTGGTTTTTCATGTTTGGAAGCTATTTACTTTTCTCTTTAACGACGTATCTACTCCCTACTGTCAGAGACATGAGAGATCCAGATATCATACAAGTATATAATTTGATGTCAACAGATTCGTTAAGAACAGTTCTGATGAGTTTGATCTGTTTCAGGAATCTGACCTGGATGAGAATTTCTGAGGTGTGAGTAATTTTCACTCAGGAAAGTTATACAATGTGTACTGTGTTGGTTACCTTACAGTAATGTTTTCTTACATGAAGGATGGATTCCAAATGGAGATGAGGAAGCTTTTGATTGTTTACAGACCAGATTATGATGATCCTGTAGATAATCACGAGCCCCAGAAACCAGGCACTGGAAAGACATAGGACTTGAGATTCCTGTGTTTCCCTTGGGCAAATAATGAGGATGAAAATGGGAACTCTCCTGATAGTCTCCTTGTGAACCAAATAAGACTTCCAAATTGAAAAGTTCTGAATCCTAATGGAAGGTGTAGAATGAATCAACAAGTTGTAGTGCAGTTTAAGAGGCATGATAGTTAAGGCGTCAAACTCTTGTGAGGGTAGGTTAAGTCATCTAAACTAGCTAAGATGTGATACATTGTATAACTATTCACTTACACTTTACAGATGAAAAGTACGGAAGAATAAGCTGATTATACAACAGTGGGACACACAAACTTTAAAGACAGAAAATAGAGGACGCCCACCAAATACCGAAAGAAACGACCCCAATCGTGCCAAAAGCTTGAGCCACTTCAAATATGACGTTGTCTTGCTGGAGGGGCAAATTCTGCCAATCTGTCCGCCTGCATCTCATCTCCAGTTAGTTTAAATCATATTTGTATTGGAAGAACTCCCGCAACAACAAATAAGACAGTCTAATAACTGAGATCGAGTTCCGAGTTTCGTTAGCTGCTGTATTTAGCTTCTCAGAAGAAAGTTTATTGTTTCTATGCATTTGGAAACAAGCAAAGCCATTTGAACTTTGATTCTTTTAATGCCTACTATTATAACTGTCTCCTCATTTGCCATGTTTATACTTAAGTGTACTCACCCCAAATCAGCCATGATAATGCTGATATTGTCTTGTGACCCTTTGTCCTACAAGATACAAACATAATATTTGCTTTATTAGAACTGGAAACCAAGTTCTTGTTATTAGAAGCTTTAAACAAATCAAATTGTGCGAGTATTACCAAGGCTGCTTGTGCGAGGGCTTCACAAGCTAACTGAAAATCAAAGTAAATGAGAGGTTAGAAGTTGAACCATAAGCAAACAGAGACAGCAAGAAATAGAGTGCGTAAAAGAATAAAGAATACAAGTAACATGATGTACACCTGAACATCACCATGCTGACTCAATTGATTCCGAACAAACTTAACCGCTTCGGAGCTGATACAATACCCGAAAATGGCACTTATTTAGTCTGTCTAGATCGAAGTTGATGGACAATCTGATAAATCTTCAGGACATAAAGACTGAAGCCTAGAAATGACTGAGATACGAAAAATGACCTATTCATGTAATCCCATAGGCCATCCGACGCTATCAGTACAAACTCGACATTTGATCCGAGGGTAAGCTGAAGAACTTCTGGTGATGCGGTTACCAAATCTCCATTGAACTGTACACTGATGAGTTAAAAAGATTTTATGGTCAAACTGCTTCCTTAATTGAATCAATTGGTAATACTAAACAATAAGCGTTGAAAAATGAAATAAGAAAGATACAAGTGAGGAATCATAAAGCATACCTACCGAGAAACAAACTTTTCAGACCATCTCCCTTCTTCAGCTCCTTTTCTCAGCATCCTGTTATATAGAATAACCATAAGGAGATGCAAAAAGAAACCTTCTGAAGCTTGAGAATATTAGAGGACAGTTAAAAGGACCAAACTCGTATTTCTTCGTCTTGAATCGTATGTCACCAAATGCACGAGATACAGAGATGTCTCCACAGATTCTCCCATTAACGATCTAAAGACACCAAAAGCTGCAATAATGAGTATCTAAATTTTTAATGACTCAAAAAAAGATTTGGTCTTTTGATAGATAAATAATATTGACAGTCATTTTTCAACAGTAAGAATGGCAGATTAACGTAGGCATATGCTGCATTTCCTGTTTCAAACAGGGCAGCGAGCAACAAAGAGTTTAAATGTCAAATACACAAGCATCGAATGATTATGTTTTATATGGAAGAAATGGGTAAGAGAGTTAACTGAAACAGGTACACACCCATCCACCTGCTTCTCTAATTCTTCTAATTTCTTGCAGTGAGGTGGTGTTGTTTCCATAAGGCCGATGAGAACTCGTCAATACCTGTGCTCCTCCGGAACGTGACAACACCTGCATGAACAAATCAGCTCTGAATTTAGAAGATCTTAATTGAAAAACATGAAAGAATGTAGAAGGGCACATAAAAGAACCAGTCCCACAAAACTGAGTTCCAAAACTAGCTAAGAAAGAGAATAACAATGCTTAGAACTGTTTCTTATGCCAAGAAACTGAGATATAAAGATCACCAGGTTGATGCTTACAACACAAGAGTCACCAACATGTGAAATGAACATAACATCATTTCGTATGAATGCAACAGTTGCAGTGGAACCAGATTCATCTTCCTTCCCAGCTGCCTCCAGCCTTGAAAAGTTGAGCAAAAATCACGTCAAATACAGAATTGCACCGAGAGGATATAACCAAGTGAAGAACTGGACTTTCCACTTACAAAGGGAGTAATCTTTTATCAGTGTCATCAAAAGCCTTCTCCAAAGCCGCTTTGATCACTTCAAAATCCCCTCCATTCAACATCAGACCACCTTGTACAGCTGTTATGCAGTCTTTGTACAGCTCCTCCCTATTGCCATATTATTTACACAATCAAAGGCCTTGTTTATTATCTATTTTTGGCACTATGAATAAACCAATGATATTGTGAAGGAAGCCTCCACTCTGCAATACATATGTTCATAAATCCTAAAGATTTCACCACAAGATGCCCTGTTGGGTTCCCACCTGAGGAACTTGACGGAGGAACAGCCACCATGGCCATCGAACACTGCAGCAAACAAGAAGCCATTAAGACCATCAGACCGCACAACAGCATCGTCCTCCATTTCTTCCCGCAAGCCTTGCAAAGTGGTAGAACCCCATCTGATTCCCGCAGCATCTGTTAAAGAAGATGGAGCATCAACAGCTATGGCATAGCAGCATCCGGTTTTTCTTCTGACAGTGAGCTGATTTGCGTTAGTGGGTTTGGAGGCAGAGGCTTGGTGGAGCTTGGTTAATAAGCGGAATCTATGCAATCGAGGACTCAACAAAGCCATTTGCTGAATCGAAACTCCAAACCCAGTTGAGTCCAATTCAAATCAAATACTTGTGTGAAGGAGATTACATTAAGAGGGAAAGATAAGAGAATGAAGGAAGGCCTCTAATTGGGTTAACGGATCAGATACCATAGTTTGAGATAGTTTGAATGTTGCCCCCACAGCTGTGGAAAGAGATTGTTCATTGTTGGACAGACAAAACGATGCAGGTATACCATCACCAAGTGGGGTCCGACTGTGAAACCTGTGGCTCATCTCCAAAGTTGTAATCTTGACCGTCTCTTGGCTTCTGTTTGGTTTGATTCTGGTTTTTTCTTGAGAAATATGTTGACATTTTAGAGGAGCTTAAGGAAGGAAAGGAACGGAATTTGAGGCTAAGTTTAGTTCTTGTCTTACAGTTTGCACACTTCACTCACGATACATTATTGGTTCACCATGTCACCACTTTACGTTGTAGTGAATTTTCTGAATGGGCAGCTCGACCCAATAGTTGCAACTACTTGAAGAAAGAAGAAAATGAGAGTTCATTGAAATTGTAATGGCAAAATAGGAAGGTAAAATGTCTCATTCATGCTCCACATTTAGATTATGATGTTTCATAGTCTAAAAGAAAATGTCCTTTATAAAAACAATCAATAATTTTAGCCTTTTTATTTTTTTCGAAATTTGATTTCTTTTGTTATTGAAAATTTTCATAAATTAAATAAATATTTGATTCATTAATTTAACATTTAGTTACATTTAATAGTCATATCAAGTTATCATTTAAGCATTATTCATGAATCCTAATAGAAATTATTAAAAAAAAATACAATTCAAAATTAGAAAACAAACTTGCTTTTTGTTTATTAATAACACTAAACCATGCACAAGAATTATTGTGGTTGTAGAAGAGGCAATAAACATAGGCATAATAAGCTTGACTAAAATGTTAAGAGGTTCATATCTTGACTCAAACTATAAATAAATAAAACTACAAGTAGAAGTAGAAGTACAACAAGAGATGCTTAAAAGTTGGATTTCAATAGGAGATGAATGATACCCAAATTGCTTCCTACAAACACGCAAGTATTTGTGAAACAGCAAAAGGAAGAACGAACAAAAAAAAAACTGAAGAATGAAAACTCTTGTATATTCTAAATTTACATGGCAATGGTTAATTCGCTGTCTTCGACCATGGCTCAGCTAGAAATGAGACACCTTCCGAGCCTAGAAGCAAGAGCCCCGTGATAAATACAGTTGATCATGATGGGTCAATCCTTTTATATAGGCAACTAAAGTTCAGAGTAAACCAAATGGCCATAACTCAAGGCCCATCTTCTTGCACTGAAAAGTGTTAAACAAACAAAGTAAATACAGAGAAAAAAAGTAATCTAAGATTAGAAATGTAACACAAAATGGGTTAGTGAGAGAGACTTACTGCTCAAAATAAAGCCTTGCAGCAAGCTCTGGGCTCTTTCTGCTTGCTCTGGTGTTCCTGATATTTGAATTATCTTCTGGGTTACATCTGGTCTATCTTCTACCAACGTAACATTGGCTCCGGATAACTGATAGAAACAAAATATCAGCCAACAAGGCATTTTCTTAATATACTACAGAAAGGTTTGACAAAATTTAACTACTGCCACCTCACTGATCTGAGCAAGCTTGTTTTTTGACTTTGTTATAAGCTGGGGAACTGCAGGCTCTGGTATCACAACTTCAAGTGTGCTCCGAGTGACAAGCGGCACAGGGATCCTAATCGGAATGTCAAAACTTATATATTGCAGTGAAGTCATTGATCTAACTTATAAGAGAAGCATGTAAATGACAGGCAGGAAAACACCATGAAGTCATTTGTAACTTATAAAATGTCTCATTGATTCAAAAGAATTGAGGGAGGGGGAGGAATCAGCATTGCAGAAAGAAGTTCTACCTATTTAACCCACTAGGCAAATCTTCACGTCGATCATTTTCATTCTGCGTACCAGTCTCATTGCTCGCCCCTCCAGTTTCCTGCAAATGATAGTTTGAATCTTTTTGGTGCAGAACTGAAGTCTCAGTAGAGGTGCGCATTCAAATGCAATAGAACTTATGGAGTGCAGGTATGTTATTAAACCAATAAATACTCCTGAATATTAATGCAAAAGAAACATATAAGAAGACCCATAGTAGAAACCAAATGTTCACCTAGGTTGGCCAAAAACACTTTTTTTTCCCTTTAGACACGCAAGAAAAATGACCCGACTTTTTCTTTTTTCCCCCACAGATTGGAACTTGAACCATCATATGACTACCAAAATAACATTTGGCACATTGGATTTTATAAAATTGCGAGTGACCAATGGCTCAAGGGATTTAACACGAAGGCTTCAAATCTTGGTTGAATCTTTTACTACTTGTCTGAAAGAGAAAGCAAGTTTATGCAGAAGAAGTTTTCAGAAGAACCTTAATCTGAAATAGTTTCGTATCCAAAGAAAGTAAAGTGGCTCCACTCATAATGGCTGATAAGAGACCGTTCTGAAAAGAAAGAATCCTCTCGTCATGAGAGAAGAAAAAAGATTTAAAAAATAAGCAACCTTCAGAAGCTGTGCTGTTGCAAAAGGTTGCACATTTTGATAGGCCGTGCTAAAAGAATCATTTCCACTGTGAACTTCACGAGCTGCAGCATTATTATTTGAAGATGATTCCTCGAGTCCTAAACTGACCATGGTGTTCAGTGCTGAGATCGGAGGACTTGCATCTTTTTGGTAGGGCTCCTTACAAATATAACTCCGTAATCTTGATGTTAACTCAACAAGTGCATCTCGAGCTGCTTGTATGTCCCCTATGATCTACAAACATTGCAGTTACGGAATTAGAAACTCAGGAAGAAAAAGTCATCAATTCCAACTAGACACATTAGTAGAAAAATTAGAAAATATTTTAAAACAAAAATTACCGTCCATATAAACAGAGTATAGATTCTTACTAATCAAAATTCTAGCTAAAAAACCAAATGACTAGTTATAAAACAAAGTAGAAAAATTAGAAAATATTATTTATACATCAGGAAAGACCAATATTTTCTACTAACCTGAGACTTCATAACTGCATTTTCAAATCAGAATATGCATATTTAATCCTTAAAAAATAGAGGAAAAAAAAGATAAATAAAAGTAATATTCATACAATGGTTTAAGACCGCTAACTTTCACTGTTCATGCCCATGTTCTGTAACTGATTTAAGGAAAAAAATTCTACAAAAGCTATGAATTTAAAATTAAAAAAAAAAAAAAAAGAAACTCGAAGAGCAAAATGTAATTACATTAAACAACTTTAATCAAATCTAGGAATTCTATCAATTTAAAGTTCAATGACAAACCTGTACAAGCTCGTCAGCCCCAGATACAAACATGGGAAGTTCTTCTCTTGGCACAATTTGTACATTTGCACCAGTTAATCTCTTCATCTCTAACAACGATCCATCTCTTCCCTCCAAACATCCAATATCACTTGAATGGACAAGTAACCTAGTAGTTACAATGTTATCCTTGTCAGGAACAAGATCAACAATGCGAGTTTGGATGTGTAACAAAGCTTCCTGTGCTGGAAAAAGCTCATCATCTGGACCCTAAGAACTCAAATTTTCCGATCAGAAAGTTAAACAAGAAAAATATGAATATATAAATGGTAAACATAACTTTTAAAGTCAGTTTAGTGATTATTTATATAACTCCTAAAAATCGTCTGCAAGGAAAGGCAATCTTAAGTGATTTGGACCTAGGAAACAGTAAATTGGTGTACACCACTAAGGCAGAAAAAAAAAGTTGAAGTACCTCGTCCGAGGAAATGATAAGAATTTGTTCGTTTGAACCAGTCATAGGGCTTGAAACCTTGATATCCACACCAACTTCATTCCGAAGTAATTCTATGATTCCATCAGACTCTCCAATGACACTATCAACCTTCTCAATTGGGCATAATATTCTAAATACAAGGTCCTCACCATAAAAGGGCATCATATTGTCATTAACAGGAGTAGCCCCATGCTCCACCGAAAAACTAGAATGACGGTTCAAATAGTCATTGCTTCTTGTATTAGAAGCAGATATACGTGGCCTAAATGGTCGTCCATCCATTGATAATCGCCGTGCTGTATGTGGAACATAATCATCATCAGGAGGGAACATTCGTTCTGGTGAATGTAGACGCCCATGGAAATGACTACGGTCACGATGCTGGCTCTCTCTCAAGCGTGATGAAATGATAGCTATAGCTTTCTTTACACCATTTGCATCTCCAACAATCTGCAGAGGTTTAAAGCCCCAATTAGAAAGTAATTAACAACTATATATTCTTCATACTCAACGAATGGAATAATGAAGTTGTGAGAACTTCGAGCAGAAAGACAATTGATCACGTCACCATATATTTTTCCTTAATTCAGTCTGGATCAAGATAGAGCTCGTGTTTTAAGTTATATAAAGCCTGGTTAGCTAGATCATAGATGGATGAGGGATATAACTTGGCACCAAAAATTGGAATCCCAATGCATGTCCATTAGATTATCACACTAATATTATATAATTTATTTCTGGACAGTTTTTGATCCTCCAATCTATGGAGAATAGAAGAATTTAAGCAACATCCTAAAAATAAACAACTACATGGTCATATAAGCAATGATACAACAAAATGAAAGACTACATATGTCTTGTATATTTACTGTCTACTTAACAATTTCAAAAGACCTTTAAAGAGCTTGTTAAAACCATAGGCAAATGTTTGACCAGTACCTAGGCATGAAAATAAAACTATAAATGAGATTATCAATGGGGTTGAATAAGTTAGTTCAACAATCGACGCAGGAATCAACATATGAAAAGGCAAAACAATGTAATATGCAAGATATATGTGACGTTCCCACATAAACGTTTCTGCCAATATGACTAGCTTTTGTAAACTCACAGATTGAATAAAATGCGCAGTAAGAAACAAATTTGATGGTTTCAGAAAACAAATGATTTCTGGTCGAACTCTATTAGTTTCTCAAATAGCTAGTGAAGCAAAGACAGGACAGTAGCAGATTCAAAAAACCTGTCACTGCATTACTAAGCTGCTTATAGACGCCATTTTATTACTGCCTCTTTTAACGTTCTAACATGTCCTAAGAACCCAATTAGCAACTTCCGTTAAGCATTGCAAAAGTAAATTGGCTTCCTTTAAACCTGATTCAGTATGAGTATAATATTTTTTTAGATTACCATAGCAACAAGAAATAGGGTACTCTTTCGAGATACTGAAGTGTTCAGAAACTAAACCTGAACGATCTCCTCTGACATTGTAATGCAGCTAGGCAAATTGTGATCTCTAGGTAGAACCCTTATCTGAGTCTTGGTTTCCATTCTCATTTGCTCGATTATCTTTCCTCCCTTCCCTAGCAAACAACCTACGTGCATTCTAGACACCACAAGCCTTGTGGCCACACGGCTATTGCCACCACCAGCTCCTCCTCTAACCTCGCCGTAATCATCCTCCTCATCCTCAGCACCATACCCCATTCCATTAAACCCAGGACTCATTTCACTCTCGAGAATCCTTTCATGAATCAAGAAAAGTGCTTCCTGCGCGGGAGAGAACGACGACATCCGACCTTCGGGGTCCCGCCGCCGAGTGTCCGATATCTCAATTATTCTCTCCTCATCGCCCGGAACAAGCTCATGCACGTTGATCCACGCACCGGTGTGCTGCCTTATGGACTTAATGATACTACCAGATTTTCCGATGACACCCCCGGCTTTGGCGTCATGACAGAGTATCCTGTAAGTTGTGGTCACCATAAGAGGTTGGTCTTGAGGTTTAGACGGTCGAATTGCACTGCCACGGTGACGATAGTTATTACTGGCGTAGTGATTGTTGTAACGTGGTCTGGTTCTACCCATCGCTTCGGAATCATAGTCTTGGTGGTCATAGTAGTAGTTTCTCTTAGATCTAGACTTCTCCATCTCAAATGTTAAATAATGGTTACCCCGGTTTAGTTGATTTCAATGCGAAGCCATTAGAGTCACAGAAATTCGATGTCATTGGCTTTGATTTTCCAGTTTTGTTACAATCTTATCTTCTGGAGTAAAAGGGTCCAAAATCTCTAACTCATAAGTAGATTAGATTCCTCGGGTCCAAAAAGAACAGAAACAAAATAAAAACTCAGAACTCAGAACTCACTCCGTTGCTTCAATTCCGTTGCTTCAATTCCGTTGCTTCAATTCCGTTGCTTCAATCCCGTCCCTCTGCTTGTATCCAGTGAAAATCCAGTAAAACCTTTGCAATTAAAAACCCTAGTACAAGAAGAAGGAGAAGAAGACTAATTGAAGCTGTGGTGCAAATACGAATCCATCAGATTTGTGTTGCCAGTGAAGAAGCGAACGACGCCGTTTGTTGAGCGCCTTTGTTTTCTCTCCTAATCACAGTGGATAAAGATAAACACACATGTTAACCGTTCTACTAAGTCAAAACTACTTTCGATTTCTAACCATGATTCTTTTCTGTTAAATTCATTTGCTTATATTTTTATTATGATATTATTTTAATCATTAAATACTCATTTAATTAATAATCTCAAACACACTGAATTTTCATTCTAAACGAAAATCATTAATACGGTTGCATTTCGAAATATAAAGTCAAAAGCATATAATATATCTTCCTTTTCAAAGGAGCAATTTATGGTTGCCATTTTAACATTTCTTTTATTGAAAAAATAATTCAGAAAAAAATATATCTCGAATGCTAAGGTTTATTGTAGTAAATGTGTTTATTTTGGAAGTTTTAGTTTCAAGTTAAATGGTTTTATTTATATTATTGTGGTTGAAAGAGATAAAAAATAGCACAAGTATGGTAGGTTGACTGGGATGGGATGTACTGTTAAATAAAAATTTGGATTGTCTGCTAATAAATATATGGTAGTACCAAAGATGGAAAAAACATAAATTATAATCATATAGAAGAAATCAAAGAACATTAAAATGCTAAAGCTATGTAGGTACATGCAAAGAACGGATCGAAACGGTTATATTTATTTACCGAGACCAACGCATAAAAAAGAAATTTACAAGAGAGTCACGGTTTTTATCATCAATCAAATACACTAAACTTAGGGGGCCTCAACTAATCTCAATCTTACTATGTTTGACATATTTGAAAATCTTGATCAAATACCCAACAAAGGATGCTCTAGACCACTTCAATTCCGCAACTCAAACCCTCCAAGATCCCAAGTTCAAGCTTTGAATTGACAACAGTTAATTCAGTTGGCCTTGAAATGGGTGAGACGTACTAGAGACTACTGAGGAATGTGTGAATGGACGACACAAAGAGTAGAGCTCGAAAACCAAATATAGTTTTTGCGAGTGCAAGAGACTCAACATAAGAACAAACGGAGAAGAAGAGAAAATTAACGTTATCTTAAACAAAAGTATGCAAAGAAAAGAGTAAAATAGTGTACTCCTTGAACACAAGCTTCTCATGCCATGGCCATTCAGCATTTGATTCTCTCATCAAAATGTGAATCCATTGTATAGTCTTGCAAAGAAATTCAATTCAATAACTTGAGCAACCAGCAAACAGCTAACATTAAAGCACAAAAAATAAATCCTCAAAATAACCAGAGGCCCTAACGATCTTAAGAAACCAAAACCATTGGCATCATTATGAACGAGCATGCTGTTTCCCATTTTTTATTTACTACGGACTTTAACTTTCAGGGACCAGTAGATCTTTCCTTCGGGCAATGGGATCGACTTTGGAAAGCGCAGTGGTACTTCATATTCACCACATGTTGGCAAGGGGGCTGGCAAATGTAGATTTTCAGGCGTAATTTGAATAGAAAGTTGCCGTGCCACCTAAACCAAGAAAAGGATATGTTGATCTACATTAGAAAAGAAAAATGAAGTCTTCATTGATAAAAGACTAAATATGATTCTCATCCCAAATCCTTATCTATTCAGTCCATCCTCTGTTAGTTGTTAGGACCACGAACTCTTACTGAAATGTTTAATCGAAGTCCTTGAACCTTCTGAAATGCTTATAATTTGCAGACAAGAAGTTTCACTTTACGATACTCTCAGGATCTCTCTCCCACCCACACCGTTCAATTCTCATTTGAAAAAGAACACAAGAATTGATCAAAGCCTACCTCAGCAACAAGGTCGTCTACCGTCACAGAAGATTGCAAGGCCAAGGGCTCATCTTTTGTGGCACGAGTACGGAACTTTTCCTTGTCAATTAACCTCCTCAAAACCTAAGATTGTGTTAAGCATCAGTTATAATTAATAAATCTATCAATTCGGCAGAATATCCAATTATAAAAAATTCTCTAATACTGTGAAGGCAATCTCATCCACTTTTTTTATTGCAATCGCTGTGTCTTGCCTCCTAAAAAGGGCAACCTCAGACATTTGCTTAAGCCATTTAGTGCACCAGTTTATTCATTTCTTAAACATCAAACAATAAATCATTCCAAGGGTAACTGATTAAAAGAAATTGACAATTGGCGAAGAACAAAACATATATAGAACAACTAAGTAAGGATAAAAATTGAAGTTACAAACCAGCTGAGTACTATCCAGGCGTTTTGCTGCCTTCTCATATTCTTTCATCTTATCCTCCTTCGTCACGGTCACAACCTTAACGACCTCTTCCTCAACTGGTTGGTAAATCTAAATAAAACAAATTGAAATTATCAAAACCAATGAGAAGTATCTGAATCCTCGTGTGCAATCTATCATGGCGATGCAGCCAACATTAGAAACTGAAACCATCATGTAGCAAAATCAGTTGGTCAATCCTCCATTAAGTCTCCAACATAGGGATAAAGGACTTAACATTTTTGCAACTCTCAAATGTGTTTTCATGAGGGCTGCTAAAAATTAAAAATCACCAAAAATTAACATAAGAAGCACGATTTCCAGTCAGGTAAATTCAATTGTCGTCTCCTCAGCCCTTCTTTCCAATTGGGAGGGAACAATAAAGACTAATCAATGCAATCAAGAAAATAACAGCACAAACGCATATGGATAAACAACCAAAAGTAACTAATAAGATCTAAATTGCAGAGAAGTACCCTGCGCTGCTCCTTGACGAGATAAGCATACTTGTCAATATTTGGAACAGCCAGCAACTTGGGCATAAGATGGTTTCGGAAGTATCCCGGGGCAACCTTAACTGTCTCACCGGCCTTCCCAAGCTTTTCTATGCTCTTTTTAAACATCAAAGTAAGAATTTTTCAGTTAATTGTTCATAAAACCCAACGGTCAGGCATGAAAACTAAAAAAGTGAAGTCACATACTCACTGTTGTCAGAATAACTTCCAACTTCCTATGTCTAACTCCCTGACTCGAGAATAGCAATGGCTGCATCATTCGATCAGAAGGATGAAGCCTAGTGTCTTTAATAATTCTCTGGAGTGCATTTTTACCATATTGAATACAAGCCATTTCGATCTAACGAAGAGTCTGTAAAAGGAAATGGAAAACATAAGAGCTATAAACCTCAACAGACGAGCAAGAATGCAAAAAGTAAGGGCGCACGGAGAAGAAAAGAGTAAAATTACCGTAGAAACAGGGAAGAAGGAATCCCGACAGTGGCTTTGCAGCCGAACAATAATGGACAAATCCCTTCCAATGAAGCTCAAAGTGTCCCGACGACGGCGAACGTAACAGAACCCGCGAAGGCGATGGAGAGGTCGCCGTTGTATAATGGTTATTTAACCAGAGTGCCCTAAAATTATTTTTTAAAAGTAGAAAGCCCGCCCAGGACCGGGCCCAATATCAAGCCCAAGCCCAAAATTGATGTTTTATTTTATTTACTAAAAAACCTTCAAAAATCGGAATGCCGCCTGTTATGTTAGGTTTAGCGTAGAATTTGACGTTTTTCCGCTAAAATTGAAGCAATGGCTCCGACAGCTTCCGTCGTTTCTGATGGAGATGCTAAATGGGAATTCAGCTGGTTCCTCTCTCTCTCTCTCTAAGCCCATAAATGCATAGATACAAGTTTTCCTTTGATTGTATGGCATGCTTTTAGATCAGTTTGTTTATTATCGTTGCTACGTTAGCATTTTGGTGAGCTTCGCGTCTTTAGTTTAATCTTATTTCTCATTTGATTAATCCGTTCTGTTTTTTTTTTCTCTGGTTCCTTGCAATTTCCATATTCAAAATAAGACAATGATAATGATGATGATGATCATGTTCTTGTGCCTGGCAAGTGGCAACCCATTTTTCTTTTGTTGCTGAACCCGAAGTTTCGCGAGTAAAATAGTGTCATGAAAGCTCAAATATGCGAAGCTTTCTTCTTTTGCTATGGTTCCTAGAACCCAATGTTGTTTCCTTTCTGGGTGTTGTTAGTGTTTAACAATTGCTATTTGTTCCTAAGTGGTCATTGCGCTTGCTTTTTTCTTTAAGGGTCAACATTTATGTTGGAAACATGCAGTTTAACTCATCGTTTGCTATCTGCAGTGACTTCGAAGTGGACTGTGAATCTGAGAAGAAAGCTTCAATTGTCTATAATGCTTTAGTCGTCGATAAAGAGGTGCTTCTCGATTATTTCAACCTTCGCATTGTGCTCCCTAGTGGACTTGTTTCTGATTTGATTTCTGTGCTAAGTACAGTTGCAGCCAGACAAGGTGAAAAGGGAGATGACAGTTTCTGATGGAAAACTTTCAGTGTGAGCCTATTATGCTCTTGGCATTCCTCATTAATAATACATGGATACCAAAATAGCTTAATACAGAATTCTTGGGAACATTCACAATTCTCTTCAATCATTTTTTAGAATTTTCATTAGCTGTCTGACTTGTTTCATGCAGACACTTCGAGGCAGTGGAAGCAAGATTTCTGCGTGCATCATATAGTGCTTTTCTGGATGTGCTTACTCTTGCCATAAAAACAATCGAAGATTTCGGACAAGGATTGGATTTCTGATAGCCTTCGCTCATCTTTTACATCTCATGTTTGCTTAGTTTACATCTGATCTCCAATTTTGTTACAATATGATTTGAAGTGGTTTGATCCATGGTGAAGAACCACATCCAACATCCATCATTCGAACATTGAGATCCAACAATATAACATTTTCGATACCATATTACTCCTTACATTCAGTCACGTCATTGCATAATATATTATTTCTTTTGAATCTCAATTTAGTTCCAATCATGTGGACGATTATTTTTTTACCTCAATAGTTGAAAGAAATCTAAATGGCTAACGAGTTAATCAGGTCATTTGACTCGGCTACAGAAATCCACGCTGATAAGGGATAATTCTTAAAACCCACACGATGGTATCACTTATATTAGTAAAAATTACAGTGAAAGAAGAACAAAGAAATGATTTGAGCATGGGATGAAGGAAAAACTGCTATATGAAACATACAAACTGGTAGCTCTAGTGAATTGAAGAGGTTCCTCTGTGGTTCATTGCTTTCCTGAACGTGTTGGAAGTACTAGTATTCATCCAAATAAGTGTACAGCATATCGTCTTTCTTCGACTTGCGTCGGCTGAGTAATGCCTTTAGCAGGCGTTTGCTTTTGCTGGGATATTGTTCAACATCCTTGCTGTTATCCCTTTCTGCAGGCATACGCATTGATGCTGATTTCCTAGGTTCTGAAGGATACTGGTAGCAAAGAAAAATTCATGTTGTAGAATCTCAGTTACTCAATGATGTCATTTTTTCACTTAATTTAGTAAAACATAAGAGAGCACAATGAACACACCCGTCGTTGGCCATTGGAATTACTTGGAGTGGTGGGCCTACTTGAGTTGGGCGTAGTTGATCGACTTGAACTCTGCGTCTTTGGCCTACTTGAGAGAGAACCAGAACGCAGAAGTGGAAACCGGTGTGGTGAAACCGACCGTTTATCTGGTTTGAAACAAATGTATTTGCATTTTATGAGGGCAGACATAAGCTATGAGCACAAAAACCAATATAGTTACATTAACACACAAAAGGGCAGCTAAAGGGGAAGAATTAAGAGCATATGAACCTAATTCCTTCTTGGACATAGTAGACGTGAATGAAAACGTTCTAGGTTGTGGGGATGGCGAAGGTCGTTGCGAACGCACAGGAGAATTTTCTTTACTGCACGAACGAGAAAGAATTCGTTCAGCCAAGTTCACCAGAAGAAGAGAGGTAAACGCAAGCAAGCAGTTTCAGTTCGGATCAAAAGAAAATGTGGCATTTACCTGATAATGGATGGCGGCGTTTCCCTAATGGTAGCTCGAACAGCTAGAGGATATCAATCAGATTAATACATGGTGAAGTTTCATTTGAAAATTTTCCAAACAGTTGATTTGGGCGCTTACCATTTCTAAATTGGTGCCAGTCATCTTCATCATCTAGGTTGCATCCTTCGTATTTGGATCTAGTTTGGATACCGCCATTCATGGTCTCCCCAACTGGACAAATTCTACAAACTATAAGACTTCTTCTCAGAAAGCAAAAGAAACGAACTGGGACGTCGGGCAAAGATAATAAACTTGCCTGGTAATATGTAACGCTTGTGATATTTTGGGGTATTCATCACCAGGGATTGCTGGGAATGTCCTTCATGATCAATATACTGTTGGCACGTTCTTAGCCTCTACAGCCCCGTAGGTTAGTAAAAGTGAACAATTTAGAATGTAGTTATCGCTGAATTAATCAGCTTCCTCTACTGCTAAGAAGTATGGATTTTAGAGGATCTATACAGCTTATTCGGGTTTCTCTTTTCATTTTTGTATCAAATAATGTAAGTTGCAACTTACCTGCTCGATGCATGACACCCTAAACTCAGTTCCAGAAACATCATCCACCTTTTCATCCAAGAGATCGTTAACCTTAAAAGTAACAGAACCTAAATGATCCACCGTATTCACAAGAGCTTTAACAGCATAATCTTTCAATGTTTCTACCACTCTGCATAGAAAAAAACATCATTGATTCCAGTTTACTCTCTTATAAATTACTCTAATAAACAACTCAAACTAACTCACATCTGTTTTTGGTCGTCATTCATGTAAGAGAGTTCGAAGTATTCTGCTGCTGAGTATAATTGTGCTCGCAGGTTCTTCAAATCCTGAAAATCAAATGCAGAAAGAGAGTGAACAAAAGACGAGGAGTTGCCATTTTGGAGAACCTGGACAAAGACACAGAGTAGTACCTTGAGACAATCAGAGAAAATCAAACTCTGCTTCATAGAAATCTCATCGAAGTTGGATGTTTGTTGTGAGATGGGCATTGTACAAGATTTGGTTTGAGCTCAAACTAACTACAAGGCCTGCAACCAACAAATTTCAAAACAACCAAGGAAATCATGGCAAGAGACGAAAATCATTGAATCAAGCAACACTCCCACCACTAGCAGTGCAAACATTAATAAATTTCAAAACTAACTTTAGAAACCTTAAAATTATTAATGTTTTGTAGTATAGCCCAAAAGAGACAACAGAAGTACTGATTTAGCAGGTGAGGGAGAGAGACAGCATTCCCTTTGACAGGTTATAAGTGATGAGAATTCTGAATTCAATAAATGAAAGAATAGTTGACTCGGTGTCTCATAGATTAAACATATACCAAATTTGAACCAATCAACGACATAAAACAAATAGTGTTTTTCCATAATTCAAAAAAAAAGAAAAAAAGAAAAAAAAAAGGAACAAAACAGATAAGTAAATGTTGAAATTTCATGAATTGAAAAAGCTCATTCTGTCTGAATCTTCGCCAGGACTCGAGCTGCAGTGAATAATTAAATTCAAAGCAACCCACTTGGAGAATTTTAAAAAGGCAATGTCCAGTAATTCCTTAACAACATCGAAAAAGGTGCGAAAAATGAAGCACCCTTGGTAATGGCAAGAGAAAGTGTTCGCAATATAGAAGATGAAAACCCCGGGTAACACAGTCGAGAAACCAATTTGTTTTCTCTCATTCCAAATTTGTCAGCAACAAAAAAAAAAAAAAAGGATTGGAGAGCAAAAAGAAAGAAAGAAACTCAAGGGAAGCACCTGTACCTGTTGTTTTGCAGGTGAAGAGGTCGAACCTAGAAAGGAGACGGTAGCCGAAAACCCATCTAATTCTTGAGCCTCAAAATGTGAACCCAGAGTGAGTAGAAGCAAAAGAAGCCAAAAGTTGGCAAAAAAATCAAGTGGGTTTGGTAAAAGATTTAGAGTGAACTAGAAAAACGACAAGTTACAAAACCTCTGTAAAATGTTTGAAGAAAAGAAACAGGAAAAGGCAAGGATTTGAAGATGAAAATGATAGAAAGACAGAGGGTGGTGGTGGGCGTGAGATAGGAAACGGGAGAGACAAACATGAAGAGGAGCTCGTCGGTTAAGCCAGAAAATCAGGGGGCATTCTGGTTGAAAGGGCCTCCCTCTCTTTTGGAAGCAGCAAAAGTGGGCAAATTTGAATGTGAAAAATCCCCTATTTTAGCTCTCTCTCCCCATCATTGCGTCTCGTGGTTGCCACTGTATGAGTGTGTTTTGGAAACGATGGGTCCCAACCCCAAAAACCCTCCGCCATTCTCCTCTTCCTAATATACTAGTTGTTGGACTCAAAGAAAGAAACAGGGTTTAATATTCCCAAATCAAAGCTTTCGCCTTTTTCTCTCTCCTTCAATCTAAACATTGTCTTCCTTCTTTCCCCACTTGATTGATTGATTGATTGTGGGGCTTTCTAACATTGACCACCGTAATTAGTTAGGTGAGCTTATCATTGTTAGACGAACACGACTCTCCACAATGGTATGATATTGTCCACTTTGACCTCGAACAAAGTGCGCCTCCCCTTAATCGAGGCTCGACTCCTTTTGGAGTCTTAGTCATTTTTTGACGGCCTTCGAGGAGGGGCTTAGCTCCTTTTCTTTAAGAATTCTTTGTTCGATATTTGAGGATTTGAGGATTTACCAATCTATTGGCACGACTAAGTTTAGGGCATGGCTCTGATACCATGTTAGACGAACACGACTCTCCACAATGGTATGATATTGTCCACTTTGAGCATAAGCTCTCATGGCTTTGCTTTGGGATTCCCCAAAAGGCCTCATTCCAATGGAGTTAGTATTCCTCACTTATAAACCCATGATCACACCCTAAATTAGTCGATGTGGGACTTCCATCATCCAACACCTCCCCTCGAACAAAGTGCGCCTCCCCTTAATCGAGGCTCGACTCCTTTTGGAGTCTTAGTCATTTTTTGACGGCCTTCGAGGAGGGGCTTAGCTCCTTTTCTTTAAGAATTCTTTGTTCGATATTTGAGGATTTGAGGATTTACCAATCTATTGGCACGACTAAGTTTAGGGCATGGCTCTGATACCATGTTAGACGAACACGACTCTCCACAATGGTATGATATTGTCCACTTTGAGCATAAGCTCTCATGGCTTTGCTTTGGGATTCCCCAAAAGGCCTCATTCCAATGGAGTTAGTATTCCTCACTTATAAACCCATGATCACACCCTAAATTAGTCGATGTGGGACTTCCATCATCCAACACCTCCCCTCGAACAAAGTGCGCCTCCCCTTAATCGAGGCTCGACTCCTTTTGGAGTCTTAGTCATTTTTTGACGGCCTTCGAGGAGGGGCTTAGCTCCTTTTCTTTAAGAATTCTTTGTTCGATATTTGAGGATTTGAGGATTTACCAATCTATTGGCACGACTAAGTTTAGGGCATGGCTCTGATACCATGTTAGACGAACACGACTCTCCACAATGGTATGATATTGTCCACTTTGAGCATAAGCTCTCATGGCTTTGCTTTGGGATTCCCCAAAAGGCCTCATTCCAATGGAGTTAGTATTCCTCACTTATAAACCCATGATCACACCCTAAATTAGTCGATGTGGGACTTCCATCATCCAACAATCATCAATCGGATAACTCAATCCTGTTTACCAGTTTCTAATCTCACAAAAACAGGTTTCTCCTTCAAAATCAACGGTCTGGATCCCGTAAAGAAACTAATCACCGGGCAGTGACATTATCATCTTCTTGATAAATTTAAAGGAAGGAAATTCGGCTTGACCGAAAGAAATTTGTTTAAAATCAGCGGCGTGATTGTTGGGGAATTATGGGCCCTCCATCAGATTCAACGTGGGCTACGAACCCCTCCTCTGAATATGGGCTTTAAGCCCAAAAATCATTTACAGCACAAAATTAATCCTGCCCACTTTTGACTGCATAGGAGAGAGAAGCATATAATAGAAAGAGAGAGTGCATGCATTTGCAATTTTGCATGGTATGTGTATGCATGAAAGGGTATGGAGTGGAGGTGTATGGATAATACAGCCCCCCTTTTGTTGATTGGTAATTGTTTCAAATATTTAATCCCCTTTCATTGAAATTTTAACTCCCAATCAATTCTTGCACCAACTTCTAAATCCTCTTTCTTCCCCTCCTCCTCCTAAATTTCACTCACTACTTATACCACCCCTTCTTCTTTCGCCTTTCTTCAAAAACTCATTCACTCTCCTCCCTCCTCCACACTCCATATCTAGCCATGGAGCCCAGCGCCAAACTACACCCACACGACTTTGACTTTGAGTGGCCATATCACCAACATCTTTTCCCCTTCGACCACGAGTAAGAACAAACCATCTAAATTGATAGATACAGTTCAATTTGTTAACACAAGTCTAAAGGATTCAACTTTACGTGTTGGGTTCATTTTAAATTGATTTGTCTTTGATGGGTCTTGCTCAATTTTGGTTTTCTCATTTTCCACAGAGCACTAGAGCTTCCTCCATTAGATGTGGATGCATCCTTCGACTTCAACTCGCTTTCCTTACCATTCCATTGGGACGATATTTCCGAGTTGGAGGCTGAAATTTTGTGGTTGGACAAACACATGATACCAGTTACACCACTTAATGATGAGGACATGTTGGCTGTTGATGAGACGAAGGCGGAGAGAATGGTGAAATTAAAAGACAACGACGGAACGAGTAGGGAGTTGCAGGAGGAGACAAGGGTGATTGAAACAGGGCTTTCAAGTTGTAAAGAAAACGAAGAAGAAGAAGAGTGTGAAAGGAGGATGAGATTAATAATGAGAAACGGGAGGAGAAAGAGTAAAGTGTTGGGATTGGACGAGATTCAAAAGCACTTTGATATCCCAATAACAGAGGCCGCAAAAGCGATGAATGTGGGTTTGACAGTGCTTAAAAGGAGGTGCAGAGAACTTCATATAATGAGATGGCCTCATAGAAAGCTCAAGAGCTTGAACTCTCTCATTACAAATGTCCAGGTTTGTATGTATACACATCCACATTCTATATGTCTATTGATTCAAGTTCTTAGGACGCTCAACGTCGGTGCAATTTGGAAGTGCAGGAGATGGGGTTGACAAATGAGATAAAAGGGTTGGAGGAGCACAAGAGGCTTGTGGAGGAACTCCCAGATACGGACCTCACTCACAGAACCAGAAGGCTCAGGCAAGCCTGTTTCAAAGCCAATTACAAGAAGAAGCGAAGGTCCAATGTTGCCGCTCTTCGCTGAAGACTGTAATTTGTTGTAGTGATCAGAGAAACACACACCTTGGCTCTTTCTTTGCATTTTGGACACACATGAAGTTTAGGGAAACAAACTCTGTGGCTGCTTGTTGATACAGAAGAATTGAAATCATGAGGCAACCATTTTCGTTCATTCATCATGCTTGCGTCTCCATGGAAGCACTTGCTTCAAGCTCCCATAAATACATGCCTGCCATTATTAGAAACAACTATTTAAGTAAATGACAATTAAGCATTTCAGGATGTACTAAATGATCGAGAGGTTAGATTGAATGGCACGACGACCTATATGGGTCACGACCTCATGTATTTATAGATGCGTATAATGAAGATTACATCCCAAATCTATGATTTGGTAACAAACCATAAAATCATAGATTTGGTAACAAACCCTTCAAATCATAACAACTAGTAAATCTTAGACTATTTTAGTATATACAGTTATGATCTATTTTAGGTTTAACACCCCCCTCAATCTGGACGATGTACTACTAAGTTCAGATTGCGCCTAAAATAGCTAAAAGAAGGAGCTGGTAGTGGCTTTGTCATGATATTGGCGAGCTGATCCTTGGAAGATATGAGTCGAACATCAAGCTGACGAGTCGATACTCGTTCACGAACGAAGTGATAATCAACCTCAACATGCTTCGTCCGTCGATGAAAGATTGGATTGGCGGATAGGTAGGTGGCACCAATGTTGTCACACCATAGGCTAGGCGCTCGCGCTTGCGAGATCCCGAGCTCACGCAAGAGAACTTGGATCCAAATTAATTCGGCAGTGGCATCAGCAACCGCCTTATATTCGGCTTCCGTACTAGAACGAGAAACTGTCGATTGTTTCCTCGAACTCCAAGAGATAAGATTGCCACCAAAGAAGATCACATAGCCTCCAGTGCTTCGACGATCATCAGGATTCCCAGCCCAATCAGCATCTGAAAAGGCACTCAACAAATCAGTGCTGGACTTTGTAAGACACAAACCCATATCAATAGTGTCATGTAGATAACGGAGAATTCGTTTGACTGCCGCCCAATGTATAGAAGTTGGAGAGGACATGAACTGACACACTCTGTTGACACAGAAGGATATATCAGGACGTGTCAGAGACAAATATTGGAGAGCACCAACGACACTTCGATAGCGAGTAGTATCCTCAGGTGAGAGCTTTTCACCACCATTCAATAACAACTTCTCACTGGGAAGCATAGGTGTGGGCACACCTTTGGAGGTGAGCATATTGGTTCTGGCTAATAAATCTCGAATGTATTTATGTTGTGTCAGAATAAGTCCACTAGAAGTATGGCGGACCTCAATCCCAAGAAAATAACTCAAAATACCAAGATCCTTGACGGCAAAATCATTCTGAAGCTGTGTAAGAAGTTTCTCAGTAGCCGTAGAAGATGAGCTGATGATAATAATATCATCAACGTAGATGAGGATATACATCTGAATGCCCGTTTTGTTAAAAATAAAAAGAGAGACATCAGCCTTTGAAGGTGTAAAATCTAGCTGTAATAGTTTGGAGCTAAGGCGAGAAAACCAGGCACGCGGAGCTTGTTTAAGGCCATAAAGCGACTTATCCAGCTTGCAGAGATAACCAGGGTGTTGAGAATCCACAAATCCAGGGGGCTGCTTCATATAAACATCTTCATTAAGAAGGCCATGAAGAAAAGCATTTTGAATATCAATCTGCCGAATAGTCCAACCACGAGAAATAGCAAGAGATAATAAGAGCCGAATGGTAGTGGGCTTAACAACTGGACTAAAGGTATCATCATAATCAACGCCATACTGCTGTTTAAAACCTTTAGCAACCAGGCGTGCTTTGTAGCGATCAATAGAGCCATCTGGCTTTTGTTTGAGTTTGAAAACCCATTTGCAATCAATAACGTTAAGACCAGCACGAGGAGGAACTAAGTGCCATGTCTTATTTTTTTGAAGTGCCTGAAATTCATCATTCATTGCCTGACGCCAGAGGGGATGCTCCATAGCAGTAATATGTGAAGTAGGTTCAGAGGCAGAAAACCGAGCTACAAGATATGTTACTGTTCCATCTGTACGCACCTTGGGTTTCTTGATGTTGTGCTTCAATCGAGTACCATACGGATGAGTAGTAGGTGCAGGATCCACATTTGAGGGGATGGCCGTATCAGCTGTTGCGAGGGGAGCAACCGATGCTACAGCAGTTGGTTGACCAGCGGCCGAGGATTCGACTGGGCATTGCGCAATATCATCTGCTAGCGGAGGAGCCGAGGCCTCAATCATTGGCGGAACAACCAACGCCGATTCACATGGCAGCGACGCGGAGGATTGTTGCGGCAATTCCGAAGTTGATGTAGACACCAAATTTTCTGCATCCAAAGAGTTAGTAGGCCCAGACATATGCATGTGATCATTCTCCAAATTAGTACTGCTATTACCCAAATGCAAGGTGCACAAATCAGGGGCATTATGCGTCGACTGCATGATTGGGGAAGAATTAGGTGAGGCTCTCTTGAATGGAAAAACATTTTCATCAAATATGACATCTCTAGACATATAAACACGACCAGAATCGGTGTCAAGACACTTATACCCTTTATGTGAAGAACTGTAGCCTAGAAAGACACATTCCTTTGATCGAAAAGAGAGCTTTTGTTTGTTATAAGGACGAAGATGGGGCCAACAAGCACACCCAAAAATTTTTAATAAGGAGTAATTTGGTGGGGTATGAAAAAGAAGCTCTAAGGGGCATTTTTTATCGATGACACGAGTAGGAAGACGATTGATGAGATATGTGGCTGTAAGAAACGCGTCGTCCCAAAATTTAATAGGTACATGAGCATGAGCTAGAAGGGCTAGGCCAGTTTCAACAATATGACGATGCTTGCGTTCAGCAGACCCATTTTGTTGATGTGTGTGAGGGCACGAAACACGATGACCAATTCCAAGGGAACGAAAAAATGTGTTATGAATTTTCTGATATTCCCCACCCCAATCAAATTGGACCCACTTGATTTTAGTATCTAGGAGGCGCTCAACATGAGCTTGGAATTGCAAAAATATACGAGGAGCTTCTGTACGATCATGCATCAAATAGATCCACGAAAATTTACTGAAATCATCAATGAAACTAATATAATATTTAAAACCCCCAACAGATGGAGGTGCAGGGCCCCAAACATCCGAAAAAATAAGTTCCAAAGGTGACGAAGACCTATGGGAAGAACTAGTATATGGTAATCGATGATTCTTTGCTAACTGACACGCATTACAAACTGACAAAGATGACTCACTAGCACACGAAATATTATTTAGACGCAAAATGGATTTTATTACTTGAGATGAAGGATGTCCAAGACGTGCATGCCATTGGGCGTGAGTAGTAGATCTGCTCACCAAGGCGTGCTTGAGATTATCGACATCGGATGGCTTAATAGGATAAAGACCAGATTCACACCTCCCATTTAGGAGACTTTTCCTCGACTGTCGATCCTTTATAGAAAAATGCCAAGGATGGAATTCAAAGAATACGTCATTATCACGAGAAAATTTATGAACAGAAAGAAGATGTTTGGAAATTTCAGGCACATGCAAAATATTACGCAACGCAAGAGGACGAGTAGCAGTATTAATTAGAGAATGACCAGTATGCAAAACACGCAAACCTGCTCCATTGCCGACTTGAACTTGTTCACCTCCATGATAACGTTCACGCACAGCGAGACGATCCAGGTCACTGGTGATATGGTCCGTAGCGCCTGTGTCGCTGTACCAATTTGGGTCAATCTTGTAAGAGGAAGTAGCCGCCAGTGCCGTAGGAGGAGCAGAAGAAGGTTCATCTTGATAGGACTCATCCATCCTATGCCAGCAGCGGATAGCAGTATGCCCCACTTTGCCGCAGATCTGGCAGGAAGGACGAGCAGAAGGGCCACGACGATCACCAGCAGGACGAGAGGGTGCATAACCTTGAGAACGACCACGACCGCGATCCCTACGCCCACGATTCTTCTGCTGACCACCACGAGTAGCATAATTGGCAGAAGATCCAAGATTTAACTGAAGTTCAGCCTGGTGTTGTAGTTGGCGAGCTTCATATGACATTAGATGTGCAAACACATCATCAAGGGTGAGGGCTTCACTCTTGGTAGTCATTGAGGTGACGAAGGGATCATAGTCAGGGCCAAGACCAGCAAGAAGATACGCGATCACATCATCATCCTGCAAGGCAGAGCCGGCGGCGGCCAGCTCGGTGGCTAGCCCTTTGATCTTGCAAAAATAATTTGCAGCAGATTGATCTCGTTTCTTGGACGTGGCGAGCTCAACACGAATCTGAGTAGTGCGAGCACAAGTTGACGATGAAAACATCCGCTGCAGGGTATCCCACGCCTCCTTGGACATAGTAGCGGCAACCACATCATGAAGAATCTCCTCAGACATGGAGGAGAGAAGGCCGCTAAGGACTTGTTGATCCTGATCATACCACTGATTATAGGCCGGATTAGAGACCAGCTCAGCACCAGCAGCAGTTGAGGAAGGGATCAGCTTGGCAGGTGCAACATTGGTGCCATCGAGGTAGCCCATAAGCTTCGTACTCCGTAGGTAGGGGAGGAGCTGGGCACGCCATATGATGAAGTTGTTTTTGGTTAGACGAATTGTGACAACATGGTGTAAAGGGATTGGATATTGTTTAAGGCCAAGAGTCGCCATGGTAGTTGAGACGGTGTTGGAGATGGTGGATGGAGAGGAGGAAGAAGACATGGCGAGGAGTTTAAAAAATAAACCTTGGCTCTGATACCATGTTAGATTGAATGGCACGACGACCTATATGGGTCACGACCTCATGTATTTATAGATGCGTATAATGAAGATTACATCCCAAATCTATGATTTGGTAACAAACCATAAAATCATACATTTGGTAACAAACCCTTCAAATCATAACAACTAGTAAATCTTAGACTATTTTAGTATATACAGTTATGATCTATTTTAGGTTTAACAAGGTGCAATTACTTTAGAAATAGTTTCAGATTGAGACAATGAGGACTTACGATGATGTGCGACTTTGAATTCCATGTCCCAATAAAGTTTCTTCTAATCCTTAATCTCGTGATCTTCACTCTCGTATTGCCGTCGTCCGCACCGCCGGCCGAGAGTGAAATTTCAGGCCCACGCTTCACATTCTCCTTGTTAACATCCTTTCCCTCCCTCGTCTCCGTCGCCGTCGCCGTCTCCGCCCAGCTGTCCGGAAACCTGAACGATAGGTCTCGGCGGTCTCGGCCGGCGACGGGGTCATCCGCGGCGATTGTAGGAGAGGCAAAATGGGCTACCTTGGCGTCAGCGAACAGCCGGAGTGGCAGGTCCAAAGTTCTTGCACTTTTGGGCTTTGGATTCAATTCAATAATTCCGAGCGGCTTCGGCTTCCCTGGTGCCTCTTCCCAGTGAAACGGCACAGAAATCGATGCGTGCAGCGGCGGCGTCGCCATCCCTGGCGGCTCCAATGGTTGTCTTGGAAAAGAAAACAGAGACAGCTTTGGTGGCGTGGAGCTTGGATTTTCCCCTGTTGCAGTCCTCATTCTGCCAAAATCTCACAGACCCGTTTGATTTTGTTAAAAAAACTAGAAGGCCCACTTGAACTGAATGATCAGTTAGCGTAGAATTGGAACAAGTTTTAAAGAAAGAGAAATAAGGGGAGGTTTTGTATAGAGAGAAGGAAGTGGAAGGAGATGCGAATTGTGAGGGTAACTGCAAAACGCTCCTGGCGCTTCGTCTTCACGAGAAAATGCCAGAAACTTTCTCTGTATAAATTGGACTTTAAATGCACCAAATCGATCCCACGAGTTGAAACGGTTGGGTCTGCAATTTGGATGGATCAAAGAACCATCAACAGTCCAGTCCTGATTTTTCCTCTTGGAGACCAACGGTCGAGAAGGGATACGCTTTTTGATGCTTGGATAAAATGGTTGATTCATTTAGCATTACATGATTAACTTAAACCCTCTATTCGAGCAACTTTGGAGTCACTTGCAGAAGTTCTTTGGCTTTCTCCTGCAATTTTTCTTTCCATGTCCATATTATATGCAAAGAGAACCTTTTGTTTTTAGTTGATTTTGGGGATTAAAAAAGAGCACGACTTGCTCAGACCAACAAAACCAGTGGTTCTAAGCTGATGCCTATCTATGCACAAAAAACCAGCTAAATGGGAAACCTGAAATCGACCTGAAACTTCGTCAGAGACCAGAAATTAATGTTTTGTTGCATAGAATGTCCCAGAAATCAATGTGTTGAGAGGTTTTTAAAGCTTAACCATCACTCACTTTTGGGAGCACAAGCTTTCATCAATCAC